GCTTTTTTAATCCTTTGTCTTTCTATGGGAGTTAGTCTTTTTCTTATTGATTTCAGAGCTGTTTAAATATTAAGGAAATTAGACTTTGGTCTATGATATAATTTCTAAATGTATTTTCTTAGCTTTTCATTTATCTGTTGACTCTGTTCATATTCTCATGGAAAATTCTATACTCACATAAATGAATGCATTAAATACATTTTAAATGACTTCTGATATGGTTTCATTCATTGAAAGGCCTTTCTTTTCCTTTTTTTCCCCCCCTTTGGTGGTACTGGGGTTCAAACTGAGGGTCTCACACTTAGTAGGCAGGTACTCACTCTACCACTCAAGCCAGGCCAGCAGTCCTTTTTGCTTATAGTTATTTTTCAAGTAGGGCCTCACTTTTGCCCAGAGCCAGTCTTTAATCATGATCTTCCTAGCTATGCCTCCCACATTGCTGGGATTATAGATGAGCACCACCATCCCCAACTTGTTTATTGAAATAGGAACTTTGCTAACTTTTTACCTGGGCTGGCCTCGAACCTTATCCTCCTAATCTCCACTTCCCAAGTAGTTGGGATTATAGGTGAGCACAACCGTGCCTGGCTTAAATGCCTGACTTTCTAAAATATAATAATACAGCTGGTCCCTGAGTTACAATGATACTACTTATGATGTTTTAACTTTATAATGGTGCAAAAATAATATGCATTCAGTAGAAACCAGATTTCAAACTGATCTTTTGGACTGATAAAGAGCCTACCTGGCAAGCTTGAGGCTTTGAGTTCAAACTCCAGTACCACCACCACCACCACCAAAAAAAAAATTGTGGTCTTTTCTTAGCTAGCAATATGTCTGGTATGATACTCTTTCATGGTACAGAGCAGCGACAATGAGCCAAGATCACCAGGGTATACAACCAGTACTCTACCATGTCCTGCGTTGCTAAGCTACGGTGTTCAGTGGGTTAGGTGGATTAAGTGTGATGGGTTTATTGGGACTTACTCCACTGTAAGTCAGAGAGCATCTATGCAAAAATTCTTCAATCATTTGTTGTAGTACTTTTATGATTTCATTTTTAATATTCAAGTATTGAATCCTTTGGGAATTTGTTTTGTTGTGTACTATTTGGTGGGGACATTTTATTTTGTTCAGAAGCCAACCCCATTGTCCTAATATCATTTATTGAAAAACACATCTTATCTCCACTGGTTGAAAGAGTATCGTGGCCATACGTAAATTTAAATATCTAGTTGGTCTTATTTTCTAGATTTTTAGCCTGTTCCAATGAAGAGTTTGTGTATTCACATATTGGTTGCTCATAGTAGCTTTCTAATGTGTTTTGCTTTTAGGCCTCTGGCCTCCAGGACTACGACAGAAAGACTTTTGTTGTTTTAGGCCACCTGGTTTGTGATAATTTGTTACAGCAGCATACCAGGAAACTGATACAGGGACAAAGTTGACATTTGGACCGATGTCTTCCACTCCAAGCCCTGGGCTTTGAATGGGAGCACGGGCATATTTATGCATGTTCCTAAGGGAGAGTTTGTGAGGGTAAGAGTAGGGATGGCACTGTAACTGTTTCCTTGAGCCTCACCAGCTGGTGGGGCATTAAGGAAGGGGGAGGTACGCTGGATGTTCTGTGTACTCTTCTCGCTCTTGACCATTTGTGTCCAGGAAGCTGACCTCAAAGGACTATCTCAACCCTTGCCATTGGCTTCTGGTTGGGTTTCGCCAATGTTAGAATTTATTAAGAAATTGGAAGGTGCCTCCCTCCATGCTGGGCCACAGGTTGGCCTTCTTATACAACTCCAGGTTTTGCTCAGTTGTTGGTTGTAGTCACCCATTCTTCCCTTTTAGGCCTCCAGGTGGTAAGAGCTTCCCATGGATACGATCCCCAGAGCACTATGCCAATCTCTTACTGGTTTCCCTTAACCCTGCCCACATCCCCAAAAAAGATCCATTATTTAAACTTCCTTCAGTCATCCATATTTTCTGCCCAGATCCTAACCTATCTGGGGAAACCACCATTTTGAGTGACAAAAAGAGTAGAAACTCCTGTTTCCTTGGTTCTCACCCCTACCTGCTCATTTGGAATCACCTTACGATTCTGACAATTCTGTGTGCCTCTGGGAAGCTCCTTCTGCCTTGATGGGTGCCCTCCAGGATTAAAAGCTGCTTAGAGACTGTGGCAAAGTATAGGAGAAGGCTGTCTTTTTCTCTGGGTTCCTAGTATGGCTGCCTGGATCCCAGGGTTCCCTATCCCATCCCCAGGAACTTAGACAGGTGTGGATCTGGGCTAGGTATTTGAAGGACAAAACCGTCTCTTCCTCTGGAGCTCTGGAGGGATAAGATCTATGACTCTGTTCATCTCACAGTTTAGGTCCCTCCTTTAATCAAGACAATCTTTCTCCTTGGAGGCCTCTCTTTCCTCATGCAAACAGATTCCTGGCAGGGTGTGTTACCTGTTGTCAGACATGCTTAGACACATCTCATTTTACTTTCACTTGAGCTGGGATCTTCTAGTCAAAGCTGGGGAGGCCGATTTGGGCCAGGTTGCAGGCCTCCAACAGAAACAAGTTTCAACCTGGTATTGTAGGCAAAGAATCACTGAATGTATTTGATCTTGGTCAAAAATTCTTAAGCATTTAGCTTCTTGCCATCTTAGTGCCCCCAAGTCTTGCTCTTTTGTTAGCTAATGTCACTTTGCCAGAGTGACCCATCAAGGTACACTCCTCCATCTTGTTCCATTTCCAGTTGACTATTTATCATTCCCGGACACCACAGTTTTCTTTTTCTTTCCCCTTTCCACACGGGCAAGGAGATATGCATCTCAGTCAGTGCTGTACTTCTAGGACCTGGCTCATAGTAAAAAAATCAATAAACAGGTGTTGATATTATTGAATGAACTTGGTCCAGTGAATAAATTTAGATTTGGAAGCCCTGGGAGGTCAAGAGATTGAGTGGCCTGCTTAACAGTTCACAACTCAGTACTGGCAAAGCTGGGCAAAAATCAGCCTGTCTGGCCAAATCCACCACATCCAGGTGGATAGGCAGGAAGCAGGGTGGGAGGAGGACAGTTAGCAGAAAGGGTGAGGAAAGGAGGAGGGGATCACTGGGAAGGTGTGGTAACAAATGGACTAAAGCTGAGGTCTGGGAGAAAGATGAGATCTGGGTACCTATTCTGTGCTAGGCCAAGTGCTTTCCCTGGGTGGTTAGATTTATAACTTGTGCTGTGGGATTACTATCCCCAGGAGGTAGAGTCAGAAAAGTTTAAATAAATTGTCTTCCTTTATCCATTTATGAAGTCCTAACTCCTAAGCTTAACTTATTCCTGCCCTCTACATTGCTTCCTTGAACATAGGATTAAACCTGGGGATTTTCCTTGATAATGGCTACTGTGCCTGGGGTCCACAGTCAGTTGGAAGAGGGCAAAAAGAGTTAAGCATTCTTTCAGAGAAGAAGTAGGGAGCAGGCTATGCGCTCTCACCTTGCTTACAAGGAGAAACTGAAGCAAATAAGGCCTTTTTACCTGGTGCTGGGGGCTCACCCTATAATCCTTGCTACTTGATAAGCAGAGATCAAGAGGATCCCAGTTCAAAGTTAGCCTTGGAAAATCATTCCCAAGGTCCTATCTTGAAAATACTCAACACAAAACAGGGCTGGTGGAGTCACTCAAGTGGTAGAGCACCTGCCTAGTAAGCATGAGGCCTTGAGTTCAAATCCTAGTACTGCCCCACCCCCACTCAAAAAGGATAAGGTCTTTTTGATAAAGAGAGGTAGGGAAGGTGGAGAGAGGTGGAGATGGGCCCAGAGGTCTTCAGCCTCTGATCGGCAGGGCTGAGGAGTCAGTTAGAGCTAATACTATGGCCTCTTTCTTTCCTGGATTCCAATCTACGGACAAAAGTTAGGGATGGGGTGTGGAGTGGGTGTGGTGGGCCAAGACCAAGACTAGACTAGAGGCCCTCCTTGCCCCCCAGTTGGGCACCTATGTGACCTGCAGCCCAGAGGTTCCAGGACAGGCTTAATTTAAGATCTGCTGCCCTCTGTTCCCATGGCACACTTGTGCCTGTCAGACTGTGGCTCTTAGTTTTGGTTTGGAGAGTAAAGTCCCTGAGGCTGGAAACACAGACCCTGCCTCCACAGCGCCAGGTTCTGTTCAGGCCACAGGGCTGTCTGTACAAGGTGTTCTTTGTGCTGAGGATACCACCAGGGCTTAGGCTTTGAAGGTGGTCCCCCAGGCCCAGGGCTAGTTGCAGATCATTGATGCCATTGCCAGGTTGTGAGAGAAGGTGGAAGGAGACCTCAGCACTTATGTTACCAGCTCTGGCTGGTAACACTCCCATCCCTCCCCTAACAGCCTAACTCAACTAAAAAGGGCTTTCAGAGACAAGTCTGAAAACCCTGGCAGCTCCCCTGGCCCCTCCAGTCCTGGGCTGGAGTTGGGGGTGGGGGGCTCAGAAGGGTCTGGGCTGCCTGCCAGGCCCAGGCTATCCCCAGACTTGAGTGGGGGGTGAACAGTCAATGTTTCCTTCCTGCTTGGTCGCCAGCCCAGAGTTTCTTCAGCAGCTCCCCACCCTGTTCCCTTAACCCTTTCCTCCAAAGGAAGGAGTGGCTGAGTCCCTGTTCTCTTGGGAAGCCTGGAGGCCTGTGTGTGGGGTGTGTGTGTGGGGTGTGTGTGTGTGTGTGTGTGTGTGTGGAACCAAGGTGTCTGAGACCAACTTGTCCTCCTCCTTCTGTCCCCTAGGGAAAGAGAAACGTGGAAGGATATTAACTTTGACCCCTGGATTCTGGCTCTGGGCCCAAAACTTGGATGGAAGGCAGAGGGTTCCAGGATTCTCTCTACCCTCCTCCTTTCCGCCCTGTTTCCCTCCCGCTCCCTGCGCCTCCCGCGCCCCCTTAAGCGACCTAGCGTCTGAGCGAGTTTATCCAAGAAGGCCTGGCTGAGGGGGGACGGGGGCGGAGGGGGGGCGGAGGGGGCGGGGCGCAGGGCCAGGCGACGGGAGCCCGACGGGTCCCACCCCCAGCTCCAACCCCCGGCAGGAAGAGCTTGTCGCAGGAGCAGCCGCGGAAAAGCCACTGAGCTCGGGAGGGCGGGCGCCTGAGCCGTGGCGGGTGGGTCGCGAGCCTGCGGGAAGGGGGCGGCGGGGTGGGGTGGGGTGTGGCGCCGAAGGGAGGAGGGATGGGGGCTGGAGGGCTGGGGCGCCTCCTGCACCCGACCCGGGTGGCACTGTCGTCTCCCTCTTTCCAGGGCCGGGCGGGGCAGCCATGCTCCTGTCACCCCCGGCGCAGGAATGGTTCATGGTGCAGACAAAATCGAAGCCTCGGGTGCGGCGGCAGCAGCTCCAAGTGCAGCGCATCTTCAGGGTCAAGCTGAACGCCTTCCAGAGCCGCCCTGACACTCCCTACTTCTGGTTGCAGCTTGAGGGGCCCCGAGAGAACATGGGCAAGGCCAAGGTAAACAGCTTCCCTCCCTTCCATCCAGATCGCTCTCTTCCCCTATACTTCAGGAAACAGGGTGCCCAGGAGTCCCCAAACTGGATTCTGCAGTGTGGCTTGCAGGTACTGGCCCATCCTCCCGCCTCCAGATCTGCACACTGGCTCCTTCCTCTGCTTTCTTTTCTGCCCCACCCATCTCTTGCTTGTCACTTCTGTCCCTCAAGTGCCCTGGGAGAGCCTCCACTGTGTGTCTCTCCACAAGACTTCTCTGGCCAGGCCTCAGCATTCACTACCCTGTTTTTACACCTGGGGACCATTTTAAGGCCCTGCATTTCTGTTACCTCTACGACACACCTCTTTGTTCTTCATCAAGACTTTGGAAGGCCTACATCCTTCTGTCTTTTTAAATCCTGGGTTACCCCTCTGAGTGCTAGGATAGGAGGAGGCCCTCAGAGACACTTCTAGAGCAATGCTGGTATTTACAGATGAGGCACTGGGCATCAGAGCTGGTAAGGGTCCTTAGGGTCTTCAGAGTCAGATAAGTTTGGGGTGGTGGGGGTTAGATCAAAACCCAGGCTCTTGCCCCACACTCTTAATGCCCTAGGCAGCCTCTTGCAGGGCTCAGGTGGGATGCAGGTGCTTTGGAAGGCATTAGCCTTTGGGGATGAGGAGAACCTGGGAGGACTGTGGGCTTTGAGACATAAAGTCCTCTGCAAGGGGCTGGTCCTGTTGGACAGGCCAGGTCACAGCATGTCTGTCTTGTGCTGGCCCTGGCTCCTCTCACAAGCTTTTTCCTCTGCCTGGGCCTCTGGGTCTGTTCCCAAGGTCTCCTCTTCCCTCGAAGTCCCTCATCTTTCCCTGCTAGGAATGCTACAAGCTCCCTCTCCCCCAGACCACCTTTCCCCAGACACACTTGCCTTCTAGTTTTATCTGAGTATTTGGTTCCAATTGGTCAAGGCCATGGGTGGGGGAGGCCCAGAATACAGTCAGCTGGAGGGCAGGCAGGCTGGGAAGTTCTTCCCTCAGCCCCTCCTTAAACTGCTGCATCAACAGTTTTCCAGTTCTGACAGAGATGCTGGGGGAGGGGAGGGACGTCTGCCCAGAGACCAGATGTGCAGGAGCCCTGAGAGTAAGAATTTTCAGAAGCTGGGTTAGGGTAGAGTAACAAAAGAACCTCTGGGTTCATTGGATTTCTAATCTTTTTGTTATGACGAAACACCACAGCTCAACCTTTTATGTAGTAGCACTTTATCTTTTTTTTTTTGGGGGGAGTGGTGGTTGTTGCTGGGGATGGAACCCAGGACCTTGTGTTTGTGTTGAAGGTAAGAACAGAGTGGAAGAGGATTCTGGGTAACTCCCAACATTGTTGCACAGACGAACAGAAAGAATAATTTTTTTTTCTTTCTGACCATATTGGAGCTTGAACTCAGAGCCTCACGCTTGCTAGGCAGGTGCTCTACCATCCGTCAGAACGAAGAAGTTTTGGGAGAAGGAGAACAGGGAAGGTGAGGAGGATAAGATTTTTCCCCAGGGGTTAGGAGATCTAGATTTAACATGCAATCACCAAATTATAGCCTAGGTAGAAGAGCATGGTGGAGAGAGTTTGATTGAGGTTTGCTACCTTCTACCTGGGTGGCCTGAGTCAAATAATTTCTCCCTCTTGAGCCTTTTTCCTCATCTATGAAACAATATAAAAATACCTGCTTCATGGAGGGGTTGTGAGAGTCAGCTGAAATGCATGCTTAAATACTTTTGCAAAATACTTTTGCAAAAGATGTCAGGTATTGTTATTGAAGAGCTTTGTAACTGAACAAGTCCTTTTTCTTGTTTGAGTTGTTGTTCTACTTGTTCGTAAAGTGAGAGGCTTGGATTAAATGCTAGATGAACATTTCCCATGTGTAGGGATGTCTTGTGGTTTCCATATGGATGTGGTGTGACTGATCCCAATCCCAGCTATAGAGACACAGAAACTTGCACTGTGACAATGGCCTTTTGACAATGGTCTCTTGTGCATACTCTTGAGACTAGAGGTTGCAGGATGGGCAGAAGGGAAAGGGAGGGGTGACTTGTTTGGGTATGAGTAGAGGAAGGGTTAAGAAAGATGCAGGATTGTGTGGAGAAAGGCCTGGGTGTTTTTACATTATACGCACTTGGTTTTCCAGGAAAATCTCTATAAAACTTGAGTGCTTTTAAATTGTTTTGTGGTGGGATTTAGAAAATATCAAAGACATTACTATGCATCACGTTCTTAGGCAGCAAAACAAACCCTGGAGCAGCCTGACTTCTGTGAGGTGAAACTAGCAAGAAGAGAGGAGAGTTTTAATGATTAGGAGAGCCCAAGGTCAAGCCCTTTCCGACCTGCTTGGCAATGATGCGAGGATGGGTTGGGCGGCAGAGAGGAGAGGCGATGTGTTTGTCTTTCTCCCTTTTGGAGATGATGGAGGGAGGTGATAGGGAGCCTAAAATCTGTGGCATTGAGAGAGGTGACTTCTGGAATCTGGGTTCTGGAGTCCTGGAACAGAGTGAGGCTTTCTGACTTTGGCTTGGCAGTCAAGTGGAAATCAGTCTGTCCCTGCTGTGGGCAGAACCAAAGGAGTTGGTTGTAGTCAGAGGAGTGCTGGAATTGGCTCCTACTGATTCATTGTTAAAATTTCACAAACTTCGAAAGCCAGTGGAGCAGTATTTATAACCTTCGTGGGAGTATTTACACTACAGAAATTGGCAAATGCTATAAATCAGGGCTATATACCCCAGCTGGCCATGAAACATTTGCCTAATTGTGTTGTGAGCACTTAATTCCTTTTTTTTTTTTTTTTTTCAGTATTGGGGCTTGAACTCAGGGTGTACACCTTGAGCCACTTCACCAGCCCCTTTCTATATTGGGTATTTTTGAGATAGGGCTTCATGGACCATTTGCTCAGGGATGGCTTTGAATTGTGATTCTTCTGATCTCTGCCTCCTGAGTAGCTTGGATTACAGGCATGAGCCACTGGTGCCTGGCCCTCTTTTTTCTTTAAATTTAAGTTTTCTTCTTATCAAGTACTACACATTTTAAAAGTCCAAGAATTTTTCAAAAGTTTACAAAAGAAGATAGTGCTCTGCCTGTTCCTCTCAATTCCCTCCTCAGTACCCTTCCTGGGCATCTGCTCAGGCATTTATGCATCTCCAGATTTAAAATATATGTATATATTTATCAATTTAGATGTTGTCTTTTTTTTTTTACTTCCTATTATCATATGTGAGTATTTAGCCCCGTTATATTCCATTTCCTTTTTCTTGTCGATTGGTTATGTTTTAATTTTCAGTTAAATCTATATTTAGTATTTGCTTCATTATCCGTATATCACTTACATTTATGAATCAAAGTATACTATAATTTTGTTCTCTTTTAGCTTTTTGGTTTAATTGAGTTTGAAATCCATGTTTTCAAATTTGCTTGTTTTTCATTATACTGATTGCTAAGTCTTGTACCTTAGTGTAGCTTCTCAGTCAGCCTTCCATTGCTGTGATAAAATACTTGAGATAACTATTTAACAGGAGTGGTTTACTTTGGCTCATGGTTTGAAGGGTTTCTATAGATTGTGCCTTGCCCTGTTGCGTTGAGTCTTTCGTGGCACATATATATCATGGTATGAGCACATGGCAGAGGAGACTTGTTCACCTCATGGTGGCTGGAAAGCAAAGAGAGAAAAAGAAAGGGACTGGTCTCCCAAGATCCCCCAAAGGGCATACCCCCAATGACATGACCTCTTTCTACCAGGCTCTACCTTTCAAAGGTTCCCCTACCTCCCAGTAACACCAAGCTCAGGACCAACACATGGGCCTTTGAAGGACATTCCAGATCCAAACTATAACAGTCTACATTCAAGGTGTTCTTTTGGTTCCCATGTTTTTCTTATAGATATCCCTCCTGTCTGGTCATTTGCCTTCCTGGCCAGCAACTTGTCATCCTGAGATTGCAGTGTGCTGTCCTCCTTGGCATCCCATTGCCTTTTTTCTCAAATTCTTTGTTTTGGGACCACATGTCTTTCTCTTTCTTGGGTCAATGAAGTGCATCCCTCAGTAGTTTCATCAGTTACTATATGGTTCTGTGGCAAAGGGTATGCCGATGACTACTTCCGCTGCCTTGTGTCCTGAGCCACATGCAGTCTGCTTTGGTTTCCCTCTGAGATGACAATTGTCATCCTAAAACAGTGCCAGCTTGTAGCCAGTGGTCAAAAATATTTGTTGAATGGATGAATAAATTCTGAAACTTCTCTTTACTGTCATCCTGGAGATTGTCTTTGTTTCTTTTCCATGTTGGATCTCCTTTCTTGGTTTCCTTCCTTGATTTACTGGCAAATTGCTCTGCAGAGGTGCTGTGGTTTGAATGGCTTCTTGAAAACTCATGTTAAAATTGCCATTGTAGCAGTACTAAGGAGTAGAGCCTTTAAGAGATGGCTAATGCCATTATTGTGGGAGTTGGCTAGTTATCATGAGACGGCTTGGTTATACGTTTGGTCTCCTTTTTCTGTGTTGCACACCCTTGCCCTGCCACTGTGTTGTGACATGAATTAGAGGTCTCTGCCAGATGCTGGTTTTTGGACTTCCCAGCCTCCAGAATCATGAGCCAGATAAATTTTTGTTTATTATAAATTACCCAGTGTATGGTATTTTGTTATGGCAACAGAAAATGGACTACGTGGCTTCCTATAAGAAACCTTTATAAGAGGAAAATGTTGCAGTGCACATTTTTGCATGTCTAGGTTGCTTATCTGAAGGTCATTCAATTGATAGTTTGGCTGGTATTGAGTTATAAATGAGAAATTATTTTCTTTCAGAAATACAAGGGCATCGTTCCATTGACATCTTGCTTCCAAGGACTCTTGTGTGTGGGTCTGTTTTCATCCATCTGTGGGTTACTCTGATGCTCAGTGGGACCTTCTATCTGGACTCTTTAGATCTAGGAAATTTGGGGGGGACACTTTGTAGATTTCCTCCCCGTGACTGATTCAGACATTAAGCTTTCTGGAGATCCTTTACTTTGCTTCTTTTTTCTTTTTTTTTCTCCCTTTTCCAACTCTGGTTTTTTGCTCTGTTTTCTGAGGACTTCCTCAATATTTTTTCTTTTTCCTTTTTATTTTGTGGTACTGGAGATTGAACCCATGACCTACAGCAGAGACACACTCACAGCCCTTTTGTTTTTGAGATAGGGCTGTTAACTTTGCCTGGGATAGCCTCTAATTTATAATCCCTCTGCATCTGCCTCCTGAGTAAGTGGGATTACAGGCATACACCACCATGCTCAGTTTAACCATTTCATTATGTTTTTGATGTCTGAGAATAATTTTGTTCTTTCTATTTTAAATTCTGTTTCTTTAGTTTTGTTTTCTGTACTAGGGTTTGAACTCAGGGCTTTGTGCTTGCTAGGTAGACACTCTACTGCTTGAGCCATACCTTCAGCCTTTTTTACTCTGGTTATTTTGGAGATGAGGGTCTTGCTTTTTGCCCAGGCCGGCATGGACCTTGATCCTCCTATTTCATTCTTTTCTCAATTGCTGGAATGACAAGTGTGCACCACTAGGCCCAGCTAAAAGCATAATCCTATTCTTATTTAGTATAAGCAGACAATGAGTGATAACTTACTTAGGAGAAAGGAGAATCCTAAGTCAGAGGTTAATAAGGGACTTTGATAGGCCCAGTACAGTATGCTAATGTTTGGTGTTAATGTTTTTATTTAACTTACTAGTTGACAAAGGATCTGCGTAACATTGGGTGATGTTTTTACAGATATATTGTTCTTTTTCTATTCATCTGTATCATTTATCTATCCAGTTGTTTGTATTTTTCTCATTGTTCTCTACTTTTTTGGAGGAAAAAGGTCCAGGTAGTCTCTAGGTCCAGAGTTGTTCCAGGTATTTTTTAGGCTGTAAATGCCTGTAGTTTCCTTGTCTTCGCTTGCTTTTCAGCATAAATAGCATCAAGGTTAGGAGCCTAGACTTTGGGATCAGTTTCTGCATGTGATCTTAGCCATGTGGCCTTCCTTTCTCATCTAAGATGGGAATAATTGTGATTTCCATATAGAACTGAGAGAGGGAAAAAAATGAGAATGTGTGTAAACTGCCTGGTACATAATAAGTTCTAAATAAATATTAGTTCAGATTATTTTAAAAATTATTTCATTTGGGCTGGCGGCATGGCTCAAGTGGTAAAGTGCCTGCCTAGCAAACGTGAGGCTGAGTTCAAACCCTCCCCCTCAAAAAAGAAAAATTATCTCAGTTCTTACATCTTTCAATAAAAAATTGAGTAGTTGATGGAACAATAAATACTCTAAACTCTTTTGGAAAAAAAAGTGAAAGAAGCCACCAATAACTTCTTCCCCAGCATGCCTCCTCGTTTTTACATGTTGTTTCTGTGTCATTGGGGTGTGGAGTACATGGGATGGGGGCATTTGTTAAGGTCAGCATTAGCCACACCAGGTCAGATTTACTTTTGCTGGGCAGTGGGACCAGTCAAGATTTGGGTGGGAGGGATTGGCTTGGGATGTATCTCATGTTGGTTTTGACTGCGCATGGGGTATGTTTCAGGCTCTTTCCAGAAGGCGTTGCAGGTCTATGACTTAGGCCAGGTGGAAGAGGTAAGCAGTGGGTCTGAGCAGGGAAGGATGTCCTGGGTACTGAGCAGAGGGGCTAGTGTGATCTTCAAGATCTTCGCATCTTGGAGATGCGAAATGGAACATTTGTTCCCTAATGGAACTGTCAGGGAAAAGCAAGAAGAGAGATAGTGTCACAGACACAGGGATGTGGGATGACGAGGGCAAATGCAGCCACGTGTGCTGGTGAGTTAAGTGGGAATTCTCGTGCTTCCTTGGCTGTGCTGGTGGAACTCAGCCAGAGAAAGGAGGAACCTAACCTCTCCCGGGCCTTTTCCCTGAAAATATGAGGCCTTTGTCAGCTAGAGAACCAGAGGCCTTCCTTCTGGTTAGACGTTGTGTGTATCTGTGAGGCGTTCCTCTGGACACTGCCGAGCAACTTATCTCTCCTCTGTCTCCTCTGGGCAACAGTTACCATGGTTACATGTACAGGTTGTGCTAGAGGCCTTCTGGAGGGGAATTAAGTCAGAATCCCACAGGATTACCTGGTAGTCATTGTGCATTCAGCCAAAGGAGGTGGAAAGAGCTCTGGTTTCAGAGTCAGATAGACATGGACTGTGGCCCTGGTGCAATCACCCTCAAACAGTGTGCACTTGGGTAAGATGCATAGCCCTTCCAAACCTGTGAACAGGCCACACTAGCCACTGTCCTAAGTACTTTCTATGCACCACCTCACGGAAGCTTCAAGGAGCCTAATGAGGCAGGAACTATCATTACAGATGGGGAAAGAGACAAGAGGGGGGGAATAAATAACTTGCCCCAGGCCGTGCTAGTTCCTGGCACATGGAGAGTGCTCAGTGGTTTGTGGCTCTTTCCCTGCTATCTGTCACACAATTCTGGAATGCCAGAGGAGGAATAGACCCAGTTTAACCTGCCATTTTAGAGGTGAAGAGACTGCAGCCCTGAGACGATGACAGATTTAATGAGACCAAGGTGGAGCTAGAACCATGTCGCTTGATTCCAAGCCTGGGCCTTTCCTCCTTTGTGAGTCTCCCTCGCGTCAGTATTCCCTGGAAGGAGATGGGGGTGTTAGGGACATGATCAGGGAGAGAGTGGGAAGTAGGCTAGAGGAGGACATGAGCTTGGCAAGGGGCTAGTCTTTGGGGTGGGAAAAGCAGAGCTAGAGCAGCCCAGTAACAGGCTGGCTTCCTTTTGCTCTCCCTACTGTGCCCAGGAGTATCTGAAGGGCCTGTGTAACCCGGAGCTGTGGAAGGAGGTTCGTTACCCGCCAATCCTGCACTGCGCCTTCCTAGGGGCCCAGGGCCTCTTCCTGGACTGCCTCTGCTGGAGCACCTTGGCCTACTTGGTGCCTGGCCCCCCTGGCTCCCTGATGGTGGGGGGGCTGACTGAGTCTTTCACCATGACCCAGAACTGGCTGGAGGAGCTGGTGGCCCGGCTGCGCTGGGGTCCTGCTCCTCTACTGACCCCTCGGGGGATCTGGGAGGCCGAGGTGACCCGGGCCTTTGGGGCCCTAGTGTGGATCCGTAGTGACCAGTATGCAGGGGACCTGTTGCGGCTGCCCCCAGCAGTTCAAGAGCTGCTGCTGAGCCTGGTGCGGGATGCTGCGGGCAAGGAGGACATCATTGAGTGGCTTGGTCACTTTGGCATCTCCAACACCCACTCCAGCCCAGGGGTCCTGATCTTCCCTCGCCAACAGCAGAAGGAAGGCCCGGGTATGGTGTCAATGGGAGAGACTCCTGAGCCCCTCCTGGAGATGGGGACCCTTCAGAATGGGGGCTCAGAAAATCCAAAACGATTAATGAGCCTGGGAGCCGCCAGAGCCCTGGTCCCAGCCCAGAGCACACAGCAGGAGACAACAAACCAGCTGGTACGGTAAGTTCTGGACAATAAGTCTGGCTTCTCTGACCCTACCCCTTTTCTTTCCCCCACCCCAGGAAATAATAGTAGTGTAGGACCAAACTGGCCTTCCCACCTTTTCAACAAACTTGGGCTTCCTCCAGGGTTGGTTCCAACAACCAAGGTGGTACAGACAGTGCTCGAGAGGAAAGGCCAGCGCAAGCCACCAGCAGTCAGGACTCTGCAAACCACACACAAGCCTTGTTGCAGAAAAGGCAGGTCCAGAAGGTGGAAGATAAACTCTCTTTCCAGCCTCCAGTGTCAGCTCTGGGTGTGTGTCCATCCTGGAAGGCCTGGGCCCCGGGTCCAGCCTTTGGGCCTTTGTGGCCTGGGACTATTGCTGCAACCTTCTGGAGAATCAATGAGTTGCATTCTCTCCACCTGGCCTGGCTCCTGTCCCAGGCCTGCTTCAATTTTCCTCTCTGGCAAAGGCCGTTGGGCCCCATTCAGCTGAAGCTGCCAGGGCAGAATCCTTTGCCCCTAAATCTGGAGTGGAAGCCGAAGGAGCTGGTGCCCCTGCCCAGTGTGGAAAGCTCAGCTTGGAGACCCAATAGGAGGCTAGGAGGAGAGCCAACCCTACAGAATTGCCTGAGGCCTGGAACCCCTCCAAAAGTTATGAGCTTATTGGTGGTTCCAGGGGGATCTGGTGTGAAACAAAAGGCTAGTCCAGGACTTCCACAGATGGAGTTACCTTTGACATCTACACTCCAACTGCAAGCGGGAGTTGAGTTGGGGGATCAAGGAAGTGTTGTGTTGGATTGTAAGGGCCTGGAAAAGGGGTCCTTTCCAGAGCCATCCACAGAGCAAGGGGCACCCATAGAGCAAGGAATGCCTACAGCTCAAGGGAGGCTGATAGCCAAGCCAGCCCCTGGAGCTCAAACAGTGCCTGAAACTCACAAAGTGCCAATAGCTGGTGTAGCACCCAAGGCTGAAAACACACCCGCAACTGAAGGGCTGCCTGCAGTTTCCCAAGTGCCTACAGCCCAAAAGATGTCGGCAGTGCACGCAGAGTCCACAGCTCCCAAAGTGCCTTCGGCTCCAACAAAGGCAGCAGCTCATGTGGTGCCCACAGCTCCAAAGGGAGCCATGGCCCAACCAGCACTGGCATTGGCAGCTCAAGCGGTGTCCACAACTCCCAAAACTCCCACAGCTCAGAAGACACCTGCAGCGAAAACATCATCTGCAGGTCCCAAAACACCCAAAGGTAAAGCTGGGCCTGCAGCTAAAACAGCTTCTATGGCTCCCAAAACACCTGCAGCTTCCAAAATACCTGCGACCCCCAAAGCACCTGCAGCTTCTAAAGCCTCCAGAACTCCCAGAATGCCTGCAGCCCAGGTGTCCACAGATGCAGGGCCAATCTTTGATGTAGCCAAACTTCTGAGTGAGGTCCAGCCTGCATCCAGGGGTAGTGTCTCCTTACTGAAGGGCCAGGGGGAGGCTGGAAGGCAGGGCCTCCAAGCCAGCAGCACCTTGGCCCCCAGCAGCAAGCACCAGTTTCAGAAGGAGGGTCTCCTGGGGGCCTGGGAGGAGGCTCCGAGGCAGCCGCCCCGCCACCCACAGGCAAACAACACAGTGACCAGCTTCCAGAGGTACCACGAGGCCCTGAACATGCCCTTCGAGTTGAACTTGTCAAGGGAACCAGGAAACCAGGGGTTGCGGCGAGTGGTCATTGACGGCAGCAGCGTGGCCATGGTGTGAGTAGGATGGGCACTGGGTGGGCTGGGGATACTGGGGATCTGGGCAGGGTATCCCTGGACAATGGCGTGTGGGCATCCATCCTTTCCTGACCTCCATGTGGGTGACAGTGTTCAAGTAGAAGATGGGAGAAGTGGCACATGCTGCATGGTCACTGCATGGTAGGCAATATGCCTCTGATTCTCCCAGCAGCCCTCCAAGGGCACGTTTCTGTTCTTTCTCTTTGATAGATGCAGAAACAGGCCCAGAGGTGAGGAATCTTGCCCACGGTCCCCGAGTCAGCCAGGGATTTGCGTTTAGATCCGTCCACTGCCAAGGCCCATGTTCTTCCCAGGGAAGCTTTTAACCTTTAGCCCAGACTTCATGACTCAACCTAGATCCACTCTGAGGCTTTTCCTGACCCTGCCTGTCCTTAGCGATTTCCATTCCTTCACAGTGCTTTCTGCAGTAGAGGTGTTAGTGCAGACAGGTGCAAAACCAATTCATTTGTCACATGGTAGAGTAGCATGCTCTCAGCACACAGTAGGTGGTCAGAGGTGGTTTTTTTTTTTTTGCTTTTAAGCTCTAAACTTGAGCTCTTTGAGTATCAGGGCTGCCTTCTTCCTCTTATCCTCAATGTTTCTGCACTCATTTGTGCACATACATGCATGCACGTGCATATGTGCATGTCTGCATGTGCACACGTGCATGCACTTAGGGTTTGGAAGAGCCCTGCATGCAGTGGATGCTCACAGGATGTTTGAGGATGGAGGGAAAGGAGAAGTTTCAACTTTGGTGTTGAAACTGCTCTCCTGGCTGTTGCCTGCTTGTGGGCTCCAGGGCTGGCTCTGAGGGAGGAGTGGTGAGGCAGGACCATTCTTCCTGCTCCCTCACTTCCCACCACCCCACAGGCATGGCCTGCAGCACTTCTTCTCCTGCCGAGGCATTGCCATGGCTGTGCAGTACTTCTGGAACCGAGGTCACCGAGAGGTCACTGTGTTTGTACCTACCTGGCAGCTGAAGAAAAACCGGAGGGTAAGAGGTGAGATGCCAACTGCCTGTCAGCCCTTTCAGCATCACCAAGCTTTTCTTCTCCCTGCCTTTTTGCCCCACTCTCCTACCACGCCACCATGGCTTTTCCCACTTACCTTTCCTCTGACCTTCTCTGTCTTCTGCCTTTCACCCCCAGAGAGCCACTTTCTGACAAAGCTCCACTCACTCAAGATGCTTTCAATTACCCCCTCCCAGCTGGAAAATGGCAAGAAGATCACCACCTATGATTATAGGTATGCTGTTCCCCAGGCCTCTCTCTCTATGGGGCTGGAGGTGTCCTGAATGGTGTGTCAGGTGCAGTCTTGCCTCATCTCCTCTGGAGAGATGGAGGCAAATGTGTCAGGGGTCATGTCCAAGAGGAGGGGTGGGGCTTGGACACCAAGTGAGGAGAGGGCTCAAGGTCAACTGTTCTCATGCACAAGGGTCACTCCCAACTTTGGGATTCTTGTTTTCCATTTCCCTGCGTTATCTGGCTTTCTTTCCCTGTTTCTTACTGGCCAATACTCATTGCTTTGTATTGGATGAGCCTCGTGCTTTGAGTGAGTGTCAGAGGTGTGCAGGCTTTTGGGTGCTGGTTTGGGTTGAAATTCATGTTTTAAGGAACACCTGCGAGAGCACACAAGGAAGGGGTGAGGATAGGTAAGACACCTAAAAAACTAGCTAGCATTTGTTGCCCTTAACGCAGAGAAACTAAAGCAGATACCTTAAAGCAACTGAGGCCAATAGGAGAAGGGGAACAGGTACTAGAGAAAAGGTTAGATCAAAAAGAATTAACCTAGAAGGTAACACCCACGCACAGGGAAATCAATGTGAGTCAATGCCCTGTATAGCTATCCTTATCTCAACCAGCAAAAACCCTTGGTCCTTCCTATTATTGCTTATACTCTCTCTACAACAAAATTAGAAATAAGGGCAAAATAGTTTCTGCTGGGTATTGAGGGGGGGAGAGGGAGGGGGTGGGGGCAGGGGGGAGAAATGAACCAAGCCTTGTATGCACATATG